GTGTGTGTGTGTGTTATAGATTTTCCCCACAACAGCCCCAATTCCACCCAGATGAATAGATTCAGAATCAAAGCAGTCTTTGTCCTATTGCAGACAACGAGAGCATTTGAGATGAGACAGTCACAGTCCAACATATTAAAGCAATTTTATAATTAGACAGTTTTTTGGTTGTCCTTGGGGTACCCCTTCCATTGTTCTTGCAGCTCCCCTTTCACTGTGCCTCTTACGTACAAGGCTGCCCACGTTGATTGTGGTTGAGAGGCAGCTGCCCACATCCCCGTGTGCCTTCACGGCCCATTTGCACGTTATTTCGGCAGTCAGAGTAAAGGGGAGGTATGCTCCTGTGCATTTCTCTTCAGACCTTCATACTCCTGTTCATTTCACTTCAGATCTTCAGCTTATACAGACTTTGTGTCCGTGCTTCATCTTCGTACTTCCGTTCATTTCATTTCTGATCTTCATATCGTCTGTTCTCTTAACGATGCTCATTCATATGTATTTGTTAGTAGCACAAAGGGAGTGGAGGGGAGGGKGGAGGGAAAGGGATAGAAGGTGGAGTTCTATAGGAGTATGGGGCAGGGGAGGTGGGGGCAAGGGCAGGAAAGAAATATGTGAAGGGAAGGATAGAGTATGACATGCAAAGGGCAGGCGAGAGGTGTATGACGGGCTTCGCAGAATTCTAAATATTCACCGCTGGAACAGACTACTCTAGAATGGCACAGGGTTGCAAAAAAAAAAATTGTGGGTTGGGGAGCAGTTAATGCCTATGGCAAGTGGCCACCCCTACAGACCGGACAGGACTATGGAAGCACCGCATCCAATTTTCACAGTCACAGTTACAGCATCGAATGGCACGGTGCAGACAGATGTCACAGGCTACGTGGCTCCAACATGCTAGGAACACAGAGGCACGTCGACCGCAATTATAGCGGCATTGCTGTTCCAGCCCCTGTCTACAAATTGGACATGACATGTCAGGGTACTGTACATGAGTACAGTACTGACTGCCGTCGTACGTATGGAAGCAAAAACTCGCATGGACTATCCCTTCATAATGTGTGTGTGTGTGTGTGTGTGTGTGTGTGCATGAGAGAGAGAGAGAGAGAGAGAGAGAGAGAGAGAGAGAGAGAGAGAGAGAGAGAGAGAGAGA